TCTTAGGGGTTTTAAAGTAGAAGAATGATGTATTTAAAATAGGCGAATGAATTTTATTTACTTAATTTTTTATTTTACAGTCAGTGAAACTGAGTGGCTACAATCTTGAATTTAGGGATCAGATTGAGAGAAGAGTGTGATTCACCATTTAGCTCCTTAGTGTGCCTGTGATCTTGGGCAAATTACTTAAGCTCTCAGGGTCTCATTTCTTCAGTAGAGTAAAGGGATAAAAAAAATTACCTTTTGTGTAGGTCTATATTTTGCAAAATTAAATGATATGTCACTTGTAAAACTCAGCATGCTTGGCACATAGAAAGCACTCAAAAAGTATTCACTGTACTTGTTATTAATATAATTCCTCTAGTCATAATCCCTTATGTGATGTATTATAAATTCTAGACTCTATGCTAGTGGTTATGATCTCATTTTAGAGGGAGTTCTCTGCTAGGCTAATGGACAGGATTAAGGTGGAATTAAGTCTTCACTTTAAGTAGAGGGTATGAGCCAAGTCCCTGCCCCTTGTTTCCTTTTGGATATGGTCTCCTGAAAGGCCAAAACCACACCTCTACCAAAGCCATTCCTCTGTTGAGATGAGCTATCACAGAAGCAAGAGCACCCCGGGTAGTCAGAACCAAAAAGGAAGAGCCACCAGTCAGTGGAGCACATTCAAGCTCTCCGATTTAGGCAGCAGAGGCCAAGACTAGAGGCACCAGAGGCTGCAGCACAGACACCATGGGACACTTAAAGGGGGCAGGCCAAGACGAGAGGTCAAAGCAAGGAGGTCATGAGAAAGAACAGAGGAACCGTGCTGAAAACATGGCATTGTGAGACAGAGCAGCAGGTGGACTTCCTAGGCCATGGAAGTGGAAATCAAGGGCGCACGTGGCTGAGAAGCTGAGAACTATAGAGAGACTTACCTAATGGCTGAGAAGAGGTGTTTCTCGGGACCAATGACTATATACTTAGTGTTTACTGCTCCTGACTTGTGGTAACCTGTTAACTTCCCTAATAAACACCCTTAATCATGAATACTATCTGTGAATTCTGTGACCATTCCAACAGACTATCAAGCCGAACATAGAAGTAGAGGGTGGTGAGAGGTACAGTTGATGTCAGAATAGGATAAAGAAGGATATGTGCCTTGTGACAATAGGAAACCAGTGTAGGTCAGATATGGTCTTATGCGTTATTTCATAGGCGCCATGTAGTCAGTTCAAACACAGAGCAGCGCTGCTTGATACAGCACTGCCTGATCCTGAGTCATCCTTACAGTCATTGCTGTTTGAGCCCATTGTAGTCCTTGTGCTAATCCCAAAGCTCTGATGTCCTTCTCCAAGGATGGATAACATCTATAAAGTGTGTAAGATGAACTCTTACCATTCTCATTCCTAAGCGTTTTTTTGGCTGTACTTCTGCAGACAGATGGGGGAGTCCCGGTGGCATAGTTATATGTTAGGCATTTGGCTGCGATCCACAAGGTCAACAATACAAAATCACCCACTACTCTCTACTACTGTAAACAGTTATAGTCTCAAAAATTCAAAGGGGACAATTCTACCCTGTCTTAGACGGTTCCTATCAGTCGGCATTGACTCCATGACAATGAGTTTATTATTTTTGTTGTTCAGTAGTCCACAGTGGTATACTCAGTCTTCCTTGCCAACATCATAATCCAAAGGCATCAAACCTTTTGAGGCTTGCTTTATTCACTGTCCGACTTTTGCCTGCATATGAAGCAAATTAAAATTCTGTGGCTTGAGGGTGGGGGTGGGGAAGGGAGGGGTGTGGTGTGGTATCTTTGCTCTGTAATACTTTAAAGAGGCCATTTGCATCAGATTTGCCCAATGCAATGTGTTTGATTTCTTGACCCGCTGCTTCCATGGCCATTCACTGTTTGTCTACAAAAATGAAACCAACTTTAATATTTTCTTCATTTGTCATGATATTGCTTCAGTTGAGAAGAGAGGGTTGTTGTATGTGTGTGTGTGTAATCCTTGTAGACATCTGGAGGTTTTGCTTTTCATCAGTAGGTGCTGTATGTCTTCATGCCTTCAGCAAGCAAAGTGTATCCCCTGCATAGCACAGATTGTTCATGATTCTTCAAGGAATCTCGATGCAGCTTTCTTCTTCATTTGGATAGTCTGGCTTCTTAGATGATTTGTTCAGCACACAGCTTGAGTTCACCACACAAACGAATCCCATGATCATTTCAATCATTGGAACTATGATAAAAAACTACTCTAGGAATGGCATGGAAGATGATTTAGAAGTAAGGAGAAGCTGGGGGCAGGGAGGCCAGTTATTAGGACTCTCAAATAATTTAGGTAGAATATCTTTCTAATTGCAAGGGAAGACTGAGCAGAATTTAGTGCTTGCTTAGCTCAAAGGAACCAGGGAGGCTGTGTACGATGACTGCAAGGCTTCAAGCTTGGTGGAGTTGAGGATTCTTTACGATCAGAAGGAAAGTCCTTCCTGACCCGGTGGCTCTGATTTTTCAAGCCATTGCCTTCCTGACATCTTTGGATGGTTGGTCGCCTTTTCAATTTCCTTCACTTGTTCACTGACTATACTATGCGTGTCTGCCTTGTTCCACGGGCCTTGTCATAAGCTTAGTGAAGGCATATTTCAATTTGGAACCTTTACATTTCTGATGTCTTAAACGTCACTTGCAAATTGGTTTTGATTATTTTCATCTGGTTGCTTCCAAAGCACAGTTCATTTCTAGATCTGGTCGCTCACTCAGGCAAGACTGTAGCACCTCTCCACCTGCTTAGAGACATTAATGGAATCTGACACTTTAAAATTAATATGATATTTTATGGAATAGTTATTATTTTCCTTGTGTCTACAATATGGAATTAAATGCACATTCTAATTTAGGCCTCAGTGTCTAAGTTTAAAAGAGTGCCTCAACTTTTGACCTTTCTGTTCCTGCCAAATCTCCACTTCTCCTCTGACTGAAGATAAATGGAGGAACCTAGGAATGTGATGTGTACTTTGTTCTTTTCCGATGTTGCTCTGTCTACTGCAAGTGCTGGAATTTTGTGCAAGCTTATAGCAGATGGCAGGTCCCCTGGGTGATACAAAATGGGTGGCCAGACCTCATCTCCCTTACGTTGGATGTGTTATCAGGAGGGACCTGTCCCTGGGAAAGGACATGATGCTTGGCGAGCTTAGAGAGAGAGAGAAAGAGAAAGATCATTCAGAAGGTGGATTAACTCAATGACTGCCATAAAGAGCTCAAACAAAACGACAATTATGAGTAGGGTGTGGGGACCAGGAGTGCTTCTTTCAGTTGTGCATAGGGCCACTATGAATCAGAACTGAAAACAACAACACTAACTTAAATCTTGGAAGTTCAAACCCATCCCACGGTACCTGGCAGTGCGCTTCCGTAGGCTGCCGCTAAGAAAACCTCATTGCACAGTTCTGATCTGTGACACAGGGGTTTCTGGGAGTCGAAACTGATTCCACAGCAACGGGAGGTACAAAATAGTGGGTGGAACTAAGTCCACCTGCTGTAAGTTGTTTTCTTTTTTTCTTTCTTCTCTCCTTTTCTAACCTGTCTTTTGAGTTTAATTATTTTCACAACGAAAATGCTTTGTCACTTGACAGAAAAACAAACCCAGGAGTTTTTAGCCTGCCTTGGGGCTGCATTAAAGAAGATGCCGGATTGACTTCCACTTTGAAGATGGTGTTCACGGGATGGGGGGGGGGGGATTAAATAAGCGTCTTCTAGAGAACCAGTCATCAGCAGCTGCAGTCTGTGTGCACAGCAGAGATCTGTGCACACTGGACGCCCGTGTGCTCTTGTGCGCCGGGTCACAGTTGTGAGACATTTCCCTGAGGTAGAAGTAGAGGAGGGTCTGGGAGGAATAGGGGTGCCTTGCCCCCACCCCTTCATTAGTCACCGAGTTCTGTGGCAGGAGAAGTCAGCGAGGGCTAGCGCAAACCTGCAAGTCAAAATGTAACCAAAAGCCTCCACTGCAGTACACACACACACACACACACACACACACACACACACACACACAGCTGGTCTACTCTTTCTTTCCTCTAATGTGTGTGAGAGAGAGAGAGATACAGAGAGGTGTAGAGACTCAGAAATTGTACTTGAGAGATGTCTCCATGGGAGGGGAAGGACGGGGACTGTGGCTCAAATTCTCAGAGTTTCTGTCAGCTGTTTTCTTACTTTTCCAGACTGTGAATATACTTGAAGCCCACTGAAATAATTTATTAACTAAAACTAAAACCCAAACTCAGTGCCATTGAGTTGGTTCTGATTCGGAGTGACCCTGGGGACACAGCAATTCTTCAACTGCCTTTTGATAAACAACAAAGCCGACTCACTTTAGTTTGCCTTGTTTCCCCTCAAAAGGAAACTACCTGCATCCGGCCATTGGGACACATAGCGACCCTATAGGACAGCATATAAAGGTCTCTGCGTTTCTGAGAATGAGACTGTACAGGAGGAGACAGCCGCCTCTGTCTCCCATAGAGCAGCTGCTGTTTCTGATGGCGGACCTTAGTCTAGCCGCTCCATCCTGCCCGGGTTTGCCCCGAACTCCCAAACTCTCCACCAGTTGGTTCTGACTCATCGTTTCCCCTAGTGGCGGCAAAACAATCATGCTCATCTTTGAAGAGAGAAAAATCACTGCGTTGGAATTTTACTTGGGAGCACAGCAAGGCAAAAAGCCAACTGGGCGAGCCTGTTTCTCCGGCTCCCTAGGGAGGGCGCCGCTCTGGGGGGTGGGAGACGGGAGGGGTCAAGTGGTTGGGAATCCCACTGAGGTTGGAGACAAAACCCAAGAAGGAAGTATGAAAAAGCGATTACAGGCTGCTCAGAACTCGCCCGGGATGTTGGAGGCCTGGCTGGTTATTCATTAGCCCAAAAGGAAGCGGAGTGGGGTGGGCGCTGGTCAAATTACAGGAGCGATCTGCAGCACAAGGGCGTGGAGCGCGTACCTGGACTTAGTCGGTCTCTTGTGAACTTCCCCGTGGGGACAAAAGGCGAGATGACGCTTTGCTGTCCTCGGACCTTTGTCAAGAGAAAGCTCTCTTAATTTGATTTTTGTCCGGACTAAAGCAGATCAGAGAAGAACTTTTCCCTGGGCTCGGCCTGGGGCAGCAGGAAGAAGGAAGGGAGCGCTGGGCTGTGTGGGAGCAGGGTGTCTGCACCCGCTGGACACCATGCTGCGTTGGTGTTGACTGACACCCGAAGGGTGAGCAGGCGGACCCGCAGACCAAGGAGAGAGGGAGGCAGAAGCCCCTCTTCGCGTGTCTCCACCAGGTCCACCGGGCACCATGGGCAGCCTCTGCCGGAGGCTCCTGGCTCACTTGCAGCCCTGTCTACCCTGCTTGCACCTGGAGGCCGACAAACCGCCCGTGGTCATTAAGAACCCAGGGGCGCGCTCCCCTGCCACCGCACCCAGGGCTCAGAAGCAGGAACCCGAGGGGGATCGTGGACACTACTTCGTGGCTCTGTTCGACTACCAAGCTCGGACCGCCGAGGACCTGAGCTTCCGTGCAGGGGACAAGCTCCAAATCCTGGACACTTCTCACGAGGGCTGGTGGTTTGCGAGACACTTGGAGAAAAGAGGCGATGGCTCAGGCCAGTCAGTCCAGGGCTATATTCCTTCCAACTACGTCGCTGAGGACAGGAGCCTACAGGCAGAGCCGTGAGTAGCCCAAAGCCACACTATTTCCCCACTTTCAGAGGGTCCGGGAAGGAGTTTTCAGCCCTACCTATCCACAGCTTCCTTAGTTTCCAAAGAGCTGCCTAGAAAGTATGAGGAAGTGCTAGACGAACGTATTAGTCACTTGAAACGAACTTTCCCTAACAAGTGAGTGAAACCGGAGGGTAATTAATTGTTCCAAAGAACTTCTCTATATACCCACGCTTCCTGGGCGCACTTTTATCAACATAAACAAATGTCTAATTTAATACTCGACTTCTTTTCCCCCTTTTGCTATCAAACAGACTACACTTTATCAAAGGTAAATTTGAGAACTTCCAGAAGCACAGTTTCAAATCTAAAGTCCAGCTCGCTTCCCCTCTCTCTTTTTTAACTTTTGAAGTGTTCCAGGGAAACACATCAATTCTACTCTTAATCCTAATCCTAATCCTTGTTTATTCTCAGTTCAGAAACCACTGAGGTGGCATCACATTCCCATGCAATCAGTTACTTGCTTAATAGGCAAGTTGGTTTTTTATGCAATATATGGGATTTTTGAGGTTCTTTCCAAGCCATAGTCCTATCCATGATTTTTAAATTTATGCTTTAAATAGAAATAGATTGAAATTTAACATTTTGATGAAGTGAATTGGCCTGTTCTGCAGTGAGAACATTTGTTTTCAGGGATCTCAAATTCATTGCTGACAAGTAAATTCTCTCTGATAGTGACCCTGTAAGACAGGGTTGACCTGCTCTTGGGGGTTTCTGAGACTGTAGTTTGTGATTATGTCATTAGCTGATAGTTCACATTTACAACAACAGTAAAAACGATACTATCTGACTATCTTGTGCAGCTGCAATGTATGTCTGGCAGTAATGAATGCTGAGGTACAGGTAAAAGTAGCACTGCCAATGAAGTATAAGGTATGTGTCTATTTGGCTTGGCTATGATTTTCAGTGGTTTTGTAGTTATGTAAGGATGTGATTTGGCAGTTATATAATGATGTAAATCATACTCCTTATTGTGAACTGATGTAGTCATCTTCCACTTTTGTGTAATGCTGATTTTTGTGTATTTAGCTTATCTAGGTAATCTAATGATAAACTTGAAGAAGGTATATGTGCTTGCTTATGTGAATCTATATGCTTTCACTACTGCATGATTTACCTCTAAGGGATGGCATTATGCATGTTTTATATTCAGGGTAACATAAATATAATATTATAATACTGTGATATTCATATTTAGTGGCCCTGGAGTATATATTATTAGTTTTAAAATATAGTCAATTTTTAAAGAACTGATTAGGAGTCAATTTCCTCATACTAAGATCTTTCTTGACCAGCTCTGTGATTTGCATAGACTATTGGATTCCCCTGAATAACTGGAAATATGAGCTGTTAGGTTTAGTATATCATATTCTAGCTATATTAGTGAATGATAGACTTATGACATAAATATTGGAGAAAATGAGTACCTATATACTCGTATATAAGCTGATCCAAATATCAGCCGAGGCATCTAATTTTACCACAAAAACTGCATTGAAATATATGCTAAACAAGAGCATTCTGTGATGCTCACCTTCCTGACAAGATCGCTGAAGACAAAGTGGGTGCATAAACAAATGTGAAGAAAGCTGATGTGCCTGACTATCAAAAGATAGTCTTACAGGCTTGAAGACAAACAAGTAGCCATCTAGCTCAGAAGCAACAAAACCCACATGGAAGCAGCACACCAGCCTATGTGATCATGAGGTGTTGATGGGATCAAGTATCAGGCATCTAAGACCCAGAATAAAACCTTACCCAAGGTGAATGGGGGGGCAGGGTGGAGACCCAAAGCCCATCTGTAGACAATTGGACATCCCCTCACAGAGGGATCACAGGGACGAGATGATCCAAGTCAGAGTACAGTATAGCACCGATGAAACACACAACTTTCCTGTAGTTATTTGGTGCTTCCTTCCCACCACTATCATGACCTCAGTTCTACCTTACAAATCGGATTAGACCAGAGCCTCCACACTGCTACAGGTAAGAGCCCGCAACACAGGGAATGCAGGATAGATAACCAACCCCCTCAGGGCCATCAAGAACAGTAGAGATACCAGGAGGATTAGAGGAGGGTGGGGGGAGGAAGGGGGAATCAATCAAAAGGATCAAACTAGAACCCCCTCCCAGGGGGATGAATAACAGAAAAGTGGGTGAGGGGCGACGGAGGACAATGTAAGATATGGGAAAAAAACTTATCAAGGGTTCATGAGGGAGGGCGTTTTTGGGGAGAAATGGGGAGCTGATATCAGGGGTTCAAGTGGGAAGAGAATGGTTTGAAAATGCTGGCGGCATATGTGCATATGCGTTTGACACATTGAGGGAATGTATGGATTGTGATAAGAGATGTAAGAGTCCCCATATTCTCTTCTTGGGGGTCTGTGTAAGCAATGTTACACATTTTTCCCAATGATAGGTCACCCCACTTGGTTTACTCACCAACAAAGCTATAACCATCTTCTCAGAGATAGACTTGCACCTGCCCACCTCTGGACTTGAATTTCCATTAAGTTTCACTGAGCACCCTTGGAAGAATGTATGCCAATTTGGGGTAATGATAGAACAATGTTATATGGCAGAAATGATTGGTTTTCTCCTCTGCTCTACTTGGGAAACCAGCCCAAGCTCAAGGGAGGCTTCTGCTGCCAAAGTGGATATTAAGAAGCATTAAGAAGGGGGTGATATATGGATCATGAATATTAGGCAGGTGCACCACCTTGTTGCTTGGGAGATGGGATAAGAAGATTACATGATCTGAGAACAGATGCCTACCGTTGTGTTGGTGTTGATCCTTATAGTAGTAGTCTTATATTTTTCCTTTTGTGACTAACTTCACTTAGTATAATGGTTTTCAGATCCATGCATGTTATGAAATGTTTCATAGCTTCATCATTGTTTTTTCAAAATGCTAGTATTCTGTTGTGTGTATAAAATGCTGTTTCTTTGTCCATTTTTCTTTTTTTCAATTAGTAATGAAAATCTTTTAAAAAAATCATTTTATTGGGTGCTTATACAGCTCTTTTCACATTCCATACATCCATCCATTGTGTCAAGCACATCTGTACGTTGGTTTCCATCATCATTCTCCAAACAGTTTCTTTCTACTTGAGCACTTGGTATCAGCTCCTCATTTATTTCCCCTGCCTCCACCACCCTTCCTCCCTCAAAAACCCTTGATAATTTATAAATTATTATATTCTTTCATGTCTTACACTGATGTCTCCCTTCACCTACTTTTCTGTAGTCCGTCCCCCACATTGTAGATCAATGTGATCTGTTCCCCCTTTCTCCTCCCACCTTCCCCTTCCCCTCCTTGTATCACTACTCTCATTATTGGTCCTGAGGGGTTTATCTGCCCTGGATTCCCTGTGTTTCTAGCTCTTATCTGTACCAGTGTACATAATCTTGTCTAGCCAGATTTGTAAGGTAGAATTGGGATCGTGAGACTGGGGGAAGGGAGGGAGCATTAAAGAACTAGAGGAAAGTTGTGTGTTTCATCGGTGCTATACTGCACCCTGACTGGCTCATCTCTTCCTTGTGACCCTTCTGTAAGGGAATGTCCAATTGTAAAGAGATGGGCTTTGGGTCTCCATTCTGAACTCACCCCCATTCACACTGATATTATTTTTTTTGTTCTGGGTCTTTGATGCCTGATACCTGATCCCATCGACACCTCATGATCACACAGGCTGGTGTGCTTCTTCCATGTGGGCTTTGTTGCTCCTCAGCTAGATGGACGCTTGTTTATCTTAAAGCCTTTAAGGCCCCAGACACTATATCTTTTGATAGCCAGGCACCATCATCTTTCTTCACCACATTTGCTTATGCACCCATTTTGCCATCAGCAATCATGTCGGGAAGGTGAGCATCACGGAATACCAGGTTGTTAGAACAAAGTGTTCTTGCATTGAGGGAGTATTGAGTAGAGGTCCAATGTCTGTCTGCTACCTTGATACTTAACATATGTATGTAGATCTATTTCCATATTGTTATATATAAATATATTTACATATGTATTTTGACCTCTATAAATATCCTTTGCCTCCTAGTTCTTTCCTCTATTTCCTTTTAATTTCTTCTTGTCCCGCTATCATATTTGGCCTCATCGGGTTTCAGTAATTCCTCTCGGCTACATTAACCTTGATCAAGCCCTACCAGGCATCCTACGGCCTCCTTGCCATCAATTTGCAATCACTTGTTTTTCCCTTGTCCCTGAGTTTAACACCCACTTCCTTTCCCCACCTCCCCTCTCCCTTGTCCCCCTGGAACTGTCGATCTGATTGTTTTCTCCTCCAGATAGTTTATCCCACCTATATTATCTAGATATACATGTAAAGACAATAATAAGCACAAAAATAAGGCAGTGAAAAGCAAAAGTACAAAAGAAAACAAAAAAACCCAAACAACAACAACAGCAAAAACTTTGACCAATAGAAGCCTATAAATAGTTCCAGGTCTGTTTGTTGACCTTTAGGAGTGTTTTCCAGTTGAGTCTGATGGGGTGCCATGTTCTGGTCCCTAAGTCAATTTTGGTATTCCTCGGGGACTTCATTGCTTTTGTCTCCTTGCTGCTCTGTTGCACACAATTAGTGTTTCTCACCCTGGTGTGTTGGGGTCAGATCGAGCACAATTCTAACATTGTGTCTCCAGTGTTGTCCTCCACAAGGAAGGCTGTGGGTCCGTGAAGGATCTTGTGTCTATGTCTTATGGTGGGCCCAGTCATAAGGTTCCTCTCTTTGCATTGGTTGATCTGAGCAGGAATATCATCCTCAGGGCTTGGTGGGCCAGGATGTGTTCCATTCTCATGCCTTCCCTCTTCGTTTGCTCCTGTGTCTTCTGATCAGGCGCACCTTTATCCTTTCTTCTAATGATGAGCATTTGGATTGTTCCTAGCCTTACTATTGTGAACTGTGTGGCAGTGAACATGGGAGAGCATACATTTTCTTGTG